CTATATAGGAAATAGGAATCTTGTGTATAAATAGTCAGAATGTTTTAACTTATAACCAACCTCATTTTACTTTAATAATGATATGGTCTTTGCAATCTTATACAAATCTGTTCTGTAGTTAGCTTTATCGCAAATTTCACCAAGATGAACTAATCGATAGGTCTAATGCATTTTTGATAGTGTAAAATTTACACTGATTTTTTTTTAAAGCAAGTATGTCTATAAACAAACAGATCTTGGGCCAGAAATTTTTTTACTAGAGAAGATTTCTCTAAAGAACATTATGTATAGTTTCATCGTTACTGAATTTGGATGTAAAGGAAGCTACCTGGTTTTTTTGTCTTACCTTCTGTAGGTGAAGGGAGAGTGCAACAGTTTGTCGATTACATTACTGATCTAGAGAGCAAGTAAGTATAACTATTTGATAATTATTCAATTTCAAAAGCAAGAGTTCGATAATTCAAAAAGTTTCTCGTGAAAAAGAAATTATCATATGTTAGTACTATAGACTACATAAACTGGAATATCACAAGCGGGAAAATGAATTGTGGATGGTCTTCTGTTTTGACTTGTGTGGTTGCTCTGTTTCTATTGTTTTATTTGTAGGCAAACAGCTACAGCTGTGCCAGAATTCCCGTCTAAACTCGACTGGCTAAACACTGCCCCTCTCCAGTTTCGCCGGGTAAATTCTCGTTTAAAGTTATGTGAAGAGTTGATAACGTAGTTTTTTGTTTATTGAAGACATGTTGATGATTCGTTTTTCGATGAATTAAGAGGCTGTTGGTTTCAGCTCTCGGAACTCGGAAGACATTAGATAAATTTCTCTGCGTCGGCACATACCATTATATTTTGCATGTGAACTCTTGAGGAACAAAGGGAGTCATATGCTTCTTAGTAACTTTTGTCATTTTGTGAGCAGGATTTAAAAGGGAAAGTGGTTATACTTGATTTTTGGACCTATTGCTGCATAAACTGTATGCACGTATTACCGGATCTAGAGTTTCTTGAGAAGAAGTACAAGGATATGCCAGTGAGTCTTTACTATTGCTGCTCTCTTATATGTTATTTTGAATCTTCAAGCAATTCAAATCTCACTAGGGATGACTGAAGCTTCAACCTATGAATTGCAATCTGTGTACAGTTCACCGTTGTGGGTGTACACTCGGCCAAGTTCGACAATGAGAAGGATTTAAATGCCATACGAAATGCAGTTCTACGCTATGATATCAGCCACCCAGTAATTTCCATGTCCCAAATTTCTAAATTTCTTATGTTTTTTTGTGAAATTGATTACTTATGCCAATTCCTGGATTTTTTGTTTGTCTTTTTTTAAACGAATTGTTCCTTATTGGTGGAAAGATTTTAGCTGGTCAGAATTTCACATCATTTTCGCAATTTTCTATACCACCAGTGTTTTATCATTTGCATTCTCCTTCATTGTTCTCTGTTTGGATACTTTTTCAGTGCTATGTTGTAACTATTATCGAAACATTAACGGCATATCCGTTCAATTAGTTATTCCTCTCACTTTAAAGGTTGTGAACGATGGAGACATGTATATGTGGAGAGAGCTTGGCATCAACTCGTGGCCTACATTTGCTGTTGTTTCTCCAAATGGCAAAGTCATTGCACAAATTGCCGGAGAAGGTCATCGCAAAGTAACATTTTTAACTCCTTCCTATGCGTTTTTTTTTTCTCTCCTCCCTATAGATTTATAGCAAGTCAAGAATCTCATGTTGTTGCTAAAATTGTTGATTTCATTTTGGAGTGCTCAAGAGTGAAAATACCAATACTCTGTTTCTATAAAACGTTATTTATGTGAAAATAAATATTAGTCAATTTTACATTCCATTTGAAAAATCACTTAACTGTTCTTTGGTGTTTTCCTATGAAGGATCTTGATGACTTGGTGGCAGCAGCTCTGACGTATTATGGTGGAAAGAATATATTAGACAGTACCCCGCTTCCAATACGTCTGGAGAAAGACAACGATCCACGTTTGGCCATGTCTCCATTGAAATTTCCCGGGAAGTTGGCTATTGATACTCTTAATAACAGGCTATTCATCTCAGACAGTAACCATAACCGTATTGTATGTCCTTGCCTCTTTATGTAATCCTTGTTGTCTCTTCTTGTTGTCTAATATGAGTATTCTGTGTGATTATCAGATTGTAACTGATCTCGAAGGAAATTTCATAGTGCAAATTGGCAGCACTGGAGAAGAAGGTTTCCAAGATGGTTCCTTTGAAGATGCTGCATTCAATCGTCCTCAGGTACATATGATAATCTCACTTTGTATTAGTTGTTCCTCGATAGCTTCGTTGTTCCATTCATGATTGTATTTGTTCAGGGACTCGCTTATAATGCTAAGAAGAATCTTCTTTATGTTGCTGACACCGAGAATCATGCTTTGAGGTATGTATGTATGTTTATCTGTTGCTTCTAATGCAAACATGAATCTCACACTTTTGGGTTCAACATCTTATTTTGGAGTTTCATTAAAAAAAATTCGTAGGGAGATTGATTTTGTCAACGAGAGAGTACGGACTCTGGCTGGTAATGGAACTAAAGGCTCAGACTACCAAGGTGGAAGAAAAGGAACCAAACAGGCAAGTGACTTGACTCAGAACATTGGTTTCTTTTCACATCAGTCAAGCTTTTCAGATTTATTTAGAACTTTTAACTTATTGGCTGTGTAATATTCTCGAGTAAATGTTTTTCGAGGCTAATGAATAAGAACATCGTTGAACTTTGAAAATTTCAGCTTTTGAATTCTCCTTGGGACGTATGCTTTGAGCCGGTGAATGAGAAGGTTTACGTTGCAATGGCAGGTCAGCACCAGATTTGGGAGTACAATGTGCTTGATGGTATTACTCGAGTTTTCAGTGGAAACGGCTATGAAAGAAACCTTAACGGTTCTACGTATGTATACACTAGATTACGAAATTACTTATTACTTGACGTGTGTCCTTTTCTTATGCTATATTTTTGTGTGTTAATGCAGCCCTCAGACTACATCATTTGCTCAGCCTTCAGGAATCTCATTAGGCCCTGGTAATTACTGCAAATTTCACACTTGTTACTTCTTTCTCGAATTAGGATTGAGTTCTATGTATAATGTAAATGTAGATTTGAAGGAAGCATATATTGCTGATAGCGAGAGCAGTTCTATTCGTGCCCTTGATCTTCAAACTGGAGGATCAAGATTGCTCGCGGGTGGTGATCCGTATTTCTCTGAGAATCTTTTCAAGGTAATGACTTGATTCGTTTAATTCAACAATATTGGTATTCGGAAGTATTGTAGCAATATTTAAGTGTCCTTGGCTATATTAGTCACTAACACGGGCTAATTCTTGAACAGTTTGGAGACAATGATGGTGTGGGTGCAGAAGTTCTCCTACAACACCCGTTAGGTGTATTATGCGCAAAGGATGGTCAAATATATCTAACTGATAGCTATAACCACAAGGTAACTTCATCTGGGAATTCCAAGCAAACATCTGTCAATATGAATATGAACCAAAGAGAGTGCGGGATTTATATGATTAATGTGAGAGAGAATTCTTCTATTGGATGGATCTCGCGGATTACCATGAACGTAGTTTTAAACAACTCTGTTACAAATATAATAATAGAAACATTCTTGACTGTTACAAGATCTTAACCCTTAACTTTCATGTGTAGATTAAGAAGCTGGACCCTATAACCAAACGTGTAGTTACTGTCGCTGGAACGGGAAAAGCCGGTTTCAAGGATGGGAAAGTCAAGGGTGCTCAGGTCTGATCTAGGTTACTACAATGTTATACATTGATCAAATAGACAGTCTAATTTGTTAGTTTGACACATTATTTGTCCTTTCTCTGTGGTAGCTTTCAGAGCCTGCAGGACTTGCTATAACTGAAAACGGTAAGTTTCTGCCCCTTTTAACAGTTATTAATAAGGAACGATCGAGTGTAATTTTCATTTCCTACTGTTTTCAGGGAGGCTGTTTGTGGCGGATACAAATAATAGCCTTATCCGATACATAGATTTGAACAAAGGAGAAGACGCAGAGATTCTTACATTGGATTTAAAAGGTGTTCAACTGCCAATGCCAAAGGCAAAATCCGTGAAACGTTTGAGAAAACGTGCCTCGGCAGATACAAAGATCGTCAAAGTGGATTCAGTTACGTCACGCGAAGGAGATTTAAATCTCAAAATCTCATTACCTGATGGCTACCATTTCTCCAAGGTCCAAAGCTCTTTGCACCCTCTTTCTTTTTCCAGTTCCTATTATGCCTCTACTGATCTTTAACAATTATACATATTGCTCGTTTTGCACAGGAAGCACGGAGTAAGTTTGTGGTAGATGTGGAACCTGAAAGCGCAGTAGCAATCAATCCAATGGAAGGATATATCGGTCCTGAAGGTTCAACGATGCTTCATTTTAAACAATCTTCAACTTCGGCTTCTGTTGGGAAAATCAGTTGCAAGGTTTGCTTTAACATATTTGATTAACCTGAAACTAGTTGTCTTTAAGGCTTCAATTGTTGCTTACAAAAATATTTTATGAAAATTGTAATTGCAGGTGTACTATTGCAAAGAAGACGAGGTTTGCTTGTATCAGTCTGTACAGTTTGAGGTCCCTTTCAAGGTGGAATCAGAATCATCTGCTTCTCCGACGATCACATTCACCGTTAAACCGAGAGCACCCGATGCTGGTGGGTTACAGCTTCAAGCTACTCGCTGAACTAAATGATCATGATATGATTAAAAACCACAGGTACATATATCAACATGTAGCCACTTATAATCTATTTAAATTTGGTATGATCTTATTCATTGGTGCGCCTGTAAACATACCAACAACACCAAACCTGTATTATTCTATTAATAACAATAGAATAATAACCAATACGTAAATGCCAAAAAGTCTTCTAAGATTTGAATATGAAAAGTCTTTGCCATGTTCTCCTCCATAAAAGGCTTTTCCTAACACATCTATCTAAATCTGTGAATTTCAAACACTCAAATCCTTTCATATGGCTACTTCTCCTTCTTCGTCTCGCACCTGGGAGTACAATGTCTTCACGAGCTTCCATGGACCAGACGTCCGTAAGACTTTTCTCAGTCATTTACGCAACCAGTTTAACCAAAATGGTATCACAATGTTCGATGACAATGGGATCCCGAGAAGCGAAAATATACCATCTGCTCTCATACAAGGGATTAGAGAATCAAGGATCTCGATCATAGTGCTCTCGAAGATGTATGCTTCGTCCAGGTGGTGTTTGGATGAGCTATTAGAGATTTTGAAGTGCAAAGAAGATGTAGGTAAAATAGTGATGACCGTCTTCTACGGAGTTGATCCATCTGATGTGCGGAACCAAACTGGAGATTTCGGGATCGCTTTCAATAAAACTTGTGCTCGAAAAACAAAGGAGCATGGGAGAAAATGGAGCGAAGCTTTGGACTATGTGGGCAACATAGCCGGAGAACACAACTGGTGCGTGTTTAATTTATTACAGTTTAATTTTCTTATGATGAATAATGCTGTTTTATGATTTTATGTGGGATGATATGGGTTGTGAAAACATTGGAGTTTGATCATCGTTATAGAAATCTTCAAGGCGTTAATGATTTAGTGTTTGCCCCGGTTTGACTTTATTGTTTATTTTTGTTTTCTTGAGTACTTAGATGGATTGATTTGTACATTGTTTTTACTAACTATTCGTAAAATTAGAGAAAATTAGTCAGTGGTTCATATTTATTATTCCCTCTGTCCAATAAGATGTTTAAGAAGATTATTTTTGTTTCATTTTTAAAGATATTTTTCTAAATTTATATTTAGATTTTTTATTGTTATTTGATATTTTTAACTCTTAAATTTTTACTTTTGTTGAACAATAATATGAATCTTTAAATTCTGCAGATTTTCATAATTGGTTGAATTGTATTTTAAATTAAAAATTTAAATTACTTTTTATTTTTTAAATAGTTTTTTTAATTTTTACGTTTTTAGCTAAAACATCTTATATATATGAACAGAATAGGTTATCATATTAATTGTGCACGTAATGACATAGACTTCTTGTGTTCGTCATTTTCATTTTCATTTATTCATTGTTTTGTTTTTTATTGATACAAATGAGCTGGTGGCCGTTGGATTGTTTTCAGAAGTAAAGTTGACTAATGGTGAATGATTAAAAAGTTAATGAGTACTTAATGAGTTAGTTGTGTACTGAATTTGAGTTTTCTAACTAAATATAGTATGAAATCCAAAAGACAAGTGGGTCAACTAAACTAGTTTATGCCCTCAGAACTTGGACGAAGTTTAGTTTGACGAGGTTTATTTTTACGCTAATATTACTACAATGACAATTATTTTATATTATTTTCTTTCTTATGTCAAATTAGCTTCTTTTTTTTTTCTTTTTTTAATTAGCATTTGTTAGTACCGACAGACTTATGTTTTAAAATGAAATATTGAAGGTCATATTAATGATTATGGATTATGAAATGGTCAAACAATAATATTTCATTTTAACCAAACTACCGAATTAACTAGGCGGTATCAATAAAACCTTTCCCAAAGCTTGCCATCTAGAAGGAAAGATTGAAGGTCATATTAATGATTATGGATTATGAAACCTTCTATATAACTTATTCATATTTTAACCCTTGTACTAATTTTTTTTTCTTTTTTGTTTTTGTTATAAGTAAATCTTTAAAACCATATTCAAAAATATAAACTCTTAATACTTAAATTCATAGTTGATTCGACTAAAATTCAACATAGTATTTACATATTATTACTTTACTAAAATTATAAAAATACATGTATTGATAAACCCGTGTATCACATAGGTCATAATCAAGTTTAATCATAATAATATGTTTGCTATCACGTCTACTTTGGAGAGTCTTTAATTGTTTATTTTGGCCAAATCTCTTTTGGACTATATTTAATTGTTTTTTTTTTTTTCAAATCTCCTTTGGAAGCTTCTCTTTATGATTTGTTTTTCATGAATTTTCTGTTTCTTTTTTTTAGGGGCAATGAAGCAGAAATGATCGCGAAGATTGCAAGAGATGTTTCAGATAGATTGAACGCCACACTGTCTAGGGATTTTGATGGCATGGTTGGACTTGAAACTCATTTGAGAGAAATGGAGTCTTTGCTTAATTTTGATTATGTTGGAGTTAAAATTGTTGGGTTAGCTGGTCCTGCAGGTATTGGTAAGAGCACCATTGCCAGAGCTTTATGTAGTGGACTCTCTAACAGGTTTCAACGTACTTGTTTTATGGACAACCTTATGGAAAACTGTAAGATTGGTCTTGGTGAGTATAGTTTGAAGTTGCACTTGCAAGAGCAGCTTCTTTCTAAGGTTCTGAATCTAAATGGCATTAGGATATCCCATTTAAGAGTGATACAAGAGAGGCTACACGACAAGAGGATTCTTATCATTCTTGATGATGTTGAGAATCTAGTTCAACTAGAGGCTTTGGCTAATATCAGCTGGTTTGGTCCTGGAAGTAGGGTTATCGTGACCACTGAAAACAAAGAGATTTTGCAGCAACATGGTATCAATGATATATACCAAGTGGGTTTTCCATCAGAAAGCGAAGCTCTAACGATCTTCTGTCTATCTGCTTTTAGGCAAACGTCTCCACCGGATGGGTTTATGAAGCTTACTTGTGAAGTTGTTAAGATTTGTGGTAATCTTCCATTGGGTCTGCATGTTTTGGGGTCTTCATTGCGGGGAAAGAGTCAAGCTGATTGGATTGATGAACTACCAAGGTTGAAAATTTGTCTTGATGGGAGAATTGAGAGCGTACTAAAAGTGGGTTATGAGAGTTTACATGAGAAAGACCAAGTTATATTTCTCCTCATTGCAATCTTCTTGAATTATGCACATGTTGATCATGTGACATCCGTGCTGGCAAAAACTAACTTGGACGTTAGTCTTGGGTTGAAAAACCTAGCGAAAAAATATCTCATACAACGTGAAAGTAGTATAGTCGTAATGCACCATTTGCTTCAAGTAATGGCTACACAAGTCATTTCCAAACAAGAACGTTCCAAACGCCAGATTTTAGTCGATGCCAATGAAATTTGTTTTGTTCTAGAAATGGCAGAAGTAAGTATTCTATTTCCAAACCCTTTTTATATTTATATTCTTTGTTGTTTAAGTACAATCTCTTAATAAGCTTTGTTTTGGAATATTTATTAGGGTAATGGATCAATTATAGGTGTATCATTTGACGTAGCTGAGATCAATGAATTAAGAATAAGCGCGACGGCTTTTGCAAAAATGTGCAATCTTGCATTCCTAAAAGTATACAATGGGAAACATACTGAAAAAACACAACTGCACATTCCAAATGAGATGGAATTTCCACGTCGCCTAAAGTTACTACATTGGGAAGCATACCCAAAAAAGAGTCTACCTATTGGATTTTGTCTAGAAAATCTCGTCAAATTCAACATGGCATTTAGCAAGCTCGAGAAGCTTTGGGAAGGAACTCAGGTTAGTTATTAATGTGTATCAAACATTATTGGGAAACGAGACAATTGATATTAGAATTATACGAAAATAAAATAATACTCCCTCCGTTTCAAAATATAAGGCGTTTTAGAGAAACTTTTTTGTTTCACAATATAAATCGTTTTCAAGTTTCTATGCAAATTATATGTTACTTTAATATTTTATGATTATTTCTATTATGCAATCTCTTTTATGATTGGCTGAACTTTTAAAAAGTAGATCTTCTTAATCGACGTGCTTTTAGCTAAAACGCCTTATATTTTGAAACGGAGGGAGTATGAACTAACTTTTTCACTATGTTTTGCTTTTCACATTCAGCCGCTTGCAAATCTCAAGGAGATGAATCTCGCTGTGTCAACTCATTTGAAAGAACTTCCAGATCTTTCAAAAGCTACAAATCTGGAAAGTTTGAATCTTAATGGTTGCACTGCGTTGGTAGAGATTCCATCCTCAATTGTGAATCTTCATAAACTAAGTGAATTAGGGATGAGTACTTGCGAAAGTCTAGAAGTCATTCCAACCCTCATTAACTTGGCATCTCTTGAAAGGATCTGGATGTTTCAAAGCCTACAACTTAAAAGATTTCCAGATTCTCCTACCAACGTCAAGGAAATCGAGATATACGATACAGGGGTAGAAGAGTTGCCTGCATCACTTAGGCATTGCACTCGCCTTACTACTCTTGATATATGTTCCAACAGAAATTTCAAGACCTTCTCAACACATCTCCCTACGTGTATATCATGGATAAGCCTGAGTAATAGTGGTATTGAGAGGATTACAGCCTGCATCAAAGGTCTTCATAATCTACAATTCCTTATTTTAACAGGCTGCAAAAAACTCAAGTCATTGCCGGAGCTCCCCGATTCGCTCGAATTACTAAGGGCAGAAGATTGCGAGTCATTAGAGAGAGTAAGTGGCCCCTTAAAAACTCCAACTGCAACGCTCAGATTCACTAATTGCATCAAATTGGGTGGACAAGCAAGGCGAGCGATTATCAAAGGATCATTTGTTCGCGGATGGGCTCTCTTACCCGGAGGAGAAATACCAGCAAAGTTCGATCACCGAGTTAGAGGAAATTCCTTAACAATTCCTCATTCTACTTCCAACAGATTTAAGGTGTGCGTCGTGATATCACCCAACGATCAATACGTAAAATTTATGGAGTTAGAATTATTATGTCGTTGCAAAGTCATCGGCAACTCAGTAAACTCCTCTGACATGAAGTTCAACCTATTCAGAGTCTTTGAGTACAGGACAAAACATTTATTGATATTTCACTCTAGTTTGACATTTATTGACCCCTCCGAAGTGAGTAGAAAGATAGTGCTCGAATTCAGCAGCAGCAACCAAGTTTTGTACATTCTTGAATGCGGTGTCCAGATCTTGACGGAAGAAGAAGAAGATGTTGATAGTATAACTAACGAGGAATCTGATTCTGAATCTGGCGAAATGTCTGACAAAGAAGACGATGAAGAGAGTTACAAATCTCAATCTGGAGAAGCATCTGAAGAAAAGGATGAGGGTATCAGTGATGATGATAACCACAAATCCTTATCAAGGAAGCGTATGAGGATAACCTCTGCTCCCATAGCTGTCTCCTTCTCAATGGTGGCGATGCTACTCCTCCACCAACTTGTGAAACGAAGATGATTGACTTAGAATCGATGTCGATAGGCGATTAATCAGATAGATAGCAGCAACAAAAGCATAAGTTCAGTACGTTACCAAAATAGAAAGGAGCATGAGCCCTGTTTCGACCACATGGTTATTCAGTGCACCTACACGTTCCAAGACACCACAACTTCGCACCCAAGCTATCAAGACTCAAGCATCTTCAACTTTCCTATTTTGGTCGATTTGTATCATAAAGTCCCAACGGCTATTTCCTTTTATTATGGTACGATTTCTTTGCTTATTTTGCTTATTACAGTTGTCCTAGAGCCTATAAAAGCTCACTTTAGTTGTTCATTTGTATCCAGCCTTCTTTAAGTAAAAGTTATAAAACAGTTTATGTTTTTCTTTAAAGCTAGTGCTTTTGATATTATCTTGTTCATTAGAGTATTATATGTGATTCCTTTACTCTCTTGTTTGTGTGGAATATAACTTGTGAGATTCAAGTTGTTCTTGCATGTGTTGATTGTGCGATTCAATCATCAAAATTCCATCTCCATCTCTACCTTCTTCCATCGATCCCTTTCAAACAGAAGCTTTGAAATCGAGAAGCATAAATCCAAGGTGGGATTCCGAGTCGACCCAGGCCTGGCCAGGCGCGGGCGATTCTTAGTTTATTAGATTCGAGTATATTGTAGATCAAGTTCGCTTGAGTCTATTTCTCATGTGTTCGGGTATTAGTTCGTGATCGGTTGTATCTTGAGATTCATAAATCGTGATTGTTCAAAAGCATTTATGGCCGATTTATTTAATTTAGGAAAAAAATATCATTATTTCCATAATTTATTATTTAAATTACGTATTTAACTACTGTTGTAATTTCTTTTATGTTATCGTTATCTTAATAAAACTCACATCTTTTCTCAGCTAGAAACGCCATCACGAGATCTTCACCGAACGATTTTCATTTGCGAGCTCTTTTGCATATAATAGGCTTTAAACTAATCTCAAAATCTCCTTACCAGATGGCTACCATTTCTCCAAGGTCTAGATCTTTTGCACTCTATGTTTCCCATCTTATTTTGTGTCTCTCGATCTTTAACAAGTAAACATATTGCTCAATTTTCACAGGAAGTGCAGATTAAATTTGTGGTAGATGGCGAAACACCGAATTTAGCAGCTTGACTCATGGACTGGATCGACAAACAAACCCGAAACAGATTTTTAGCAATCCGACTCCTTGAAAATAGACGCTACGATAAAAGATTACAAGCTTGGTTTGACTCTCGAAATTAAGTATTGAATTCTGTATTCAGATTAAATTATTCAAACTCTCGCTGCACTAGTTGCATGTATCAGTCCGTACAGTTTGAGGTCCCGTTGAGATCCCTTTCAAGGTGGAATCAGAATCATCTGCTTCTCCGACAATCACATTCACCGTTAAACCGAGAGCAACCGATGCCGGTGGATTATAGCTTCAAGCTACTCGCTGAACCAATTGATCATGATATGATTAAAAACACAACAGGTAAATATGATTTGATCAAACAAACTCAGAAAGGTAAATACAATGTGACCAAATATATTCTATTTAAATTTTGTATGATCTATTCATTGGGTGCCTGTAAACATACCAACAAAAACTACCATGTTTATAATGTAAAAACAATGCAAAGAAAAAAAAAAACATCAGGTGTGACTGTTAAGATGAAGTCTTATTCATTCTGTACACAATTACAACAATATTTATATAAAAGAGAAGAGAGGAACATCTAGGTTTAGAATACAAAAGGAATATTCCTAAACTGTAATCAATCAAATATTAAGCCTTTAAAGAGATGATCGTTTGATATCTCTGACACGCCCCCTCAAGATGGAGGTGCCTTAGCAACTCCAATCTTGTCTCGTAGCTCAATAAATCTTGATCTTGTCAATGGCTTTGTTAACGCATCAGCAAGCTGGTCCTTTGTGTTTACATGTGCTACCCGGAGAGCTCCTTGTTGAACTTGACCGCGGATGAAATGATAATCAATAGCTCTGTGTTTCATTAGAGAGTGGAAAACCGGATTTGCACATAGAAATGTAGCCCCAACATTTTCACAATACACAACTGGAGTTCTTGGGAATGTGATACCTAGTTCCGTGAGGACATTGCAGATCCAACTAAGTTCGGAAGCCGTGTTTGCAACCGCTCTGTATTCGGCTTCGGTAGATAACCGTGCAACTCCTTTCTGCTTTTTTGCAGTCCAAGAAACTGGATGACGACCAATGTAAATGATGTATGCATTGGTAGAAGTATAGTCATCTGAATCTCCTCCCCAATCTGCATCTGAGAAGGCATGAAGGCTGGGATCATTTTTAGCTGAGAAGAAAATCCCATGCGTTGGTGTGCCACCTAGATATCGTAGTATCCTCTTTGCTGCTTGCCAGTGATCTTCGGTGGGTCGATGCATGAATTGAGATAATTTGTTAACAGCATAGGCAATATCTAACCGAGTAAATGCTAAATATTGCAAGCTGCCCACCAGTTTTCTGTAGGCAGTAGGATCAGATAGAGAAGTACCCGAGTGAATTATTAGCTTCGGAGATGATGCCATGGGAGTGGTCACGGGTTTTGCATCTTGCATATTGTATCGATGAAGAAGATCCAGTATATATTTGCGTTGGGACAAATGTAGACCCTGAGAAGTACGATGTGCTTCAAGACCCAAGAAATAAATCAAATCTTCTGCATCTTTAACCGAGAAACGATCCGCTAGCAGAGTTAAAACTTCTAGAATTCCTGATTTTTTGCTTCATGTGACAAGGATGTCATCGACATAGACCAACAGGTAGACAAACGATGTACCTTTCTGAAGAACAAACAAAGATATATTGAATAATGAGTTTTTGAATCCGAGACTGAGTAGGAATTTCTTCAGTTCAGTGTACCAAGCGCGGGGTGCCTGTTTTAACCCTTAGATGGCTTTACGCATGCTACAAACATGTGTTGGATTATCAGTGTCAACAAATCTCGGCGGTTGCTCCATATATACTTCTTCAGTCAACGTTCCTTGTAAGAAAGCATTGTTTACATCAAGCTGTTGAATTGGCCAATTTCTAGAGACTGCGACGTTGAGGACCAACCGGATGGTTGTAGACTTGATCACTGGGCTGAAGGTGTCTGTATAGTCTCGACCATACTCTTGATTCTATCCTTTTGCAACTAAGCGAGCTTTACACATGTGAAGAGAGCCGTTAGGTAAGAATTTATTTTTGTAAATCCACTTACAGCCAATAACATTGTGATTTGGTGGACGAGGGACCAAATCAAATGTTTGATTTCGTGCAAAGGCACCAATCTCTTCAGACATTGCTCCTCTCCACTTTTCATCCTTTAACGCTTGGTTCACGGTTTGAGGTTCTGGTGTGAGAGAGTTTGACAGAAAGATTGTATTTCGGGTTTGGTTTAATGATCTGGTTTTTGCGGCGAGTTTGCATTTTGTGGTGGTTTTTCGGAGGCGCTGCAACGGTGGAGGAAGACTAAGCCGTCGGGTTTTGGGTTTTGGTGGTGTTAGTGTTTAATGGTTTTGTAAGTGATTGGGCTTCATCGGTTCGTAAACTTGGGACTGTTTCGGTTTGGTCATTATTTGGGCTTGAGTTGGTTTGGGCCGAATTTGTTGGTGAGGAAGAGAGATCTGTTAACGTTCGTGATTGTGCCGGAGACGTATTGCCGGAGGTCTCTGTTTCACGACTGGTTGAGATGTCGTGTTGCTGTTCCGGCGATTCAGGTGGCGAAGGCTCCATTGATTGGAGGTTGATGTCCGTTGATCCAGGCGGCGACGTAGGCTGCTGTACGAGTGGCCGGCGAAGAGGGATTTTAGTGAGTGGTGGTTGGGTAGCTTTTTGTGGTTCATAGTTGTTGGGATTTAGATGGAGTGAGCTTTTGAAGGGATAGATTGTTTCATCGAATTTGACATGGCGAGAGGTGTAAATTCGTCCGGAGCTTGGTTGCAAACAAAAATATGCACTTTGTGTCAACGAGTAGCCGAGGAAGACGCAAGGCGTGGACCGGTCTTCTAGCTTGTTGGTGTTGTATGGTTGGAGGAGTGGAAAACACAAACATCCGAAGACCTGGAGTTTCATGTAATTGGGAACAACACCAAAAAGCTTCTGGTATGGAGACATCATTGCTAGAACAGGGGAAGGCAGTCTATTGATGAGGTAAACTACAGCTGCAATTGCGTAGGTCCAATACGACTTTGGTATACCAGAATGTGTAAGAAGTGTGAGTCCAGTCTCCACGACATGTCGATGTTTTCGCTCTGAGATCCCATTATGCTCCGGAGTGTGTGGCTGTTATGTAAGATGAGAGATTCCGGCAGATGCTAGAAATGATCGAAGAGTGATAAACTCGCTGCCATTGTCAGAGTATAGAGTGCCAATGCGAGTGTTAAAACGATTCTCGACAAGCTCTTTGAAAGGAATAAATGTTTCGCGAACTTCAGACTTTTCTTTGAGAGGGTATAGCCATGTGTAACGAGTGTAGTGATCGACGAGTATCACATAGTATTTGAAGTTGTCTGTAGAGACCAGGGGAGAGGACCACACATCAGAAAATATGTATTCTAAGGGTCTTGTGGAAACAATGGTAGTTTGTGAAAAAGGAATTTTCCGAGCTTTATTGATTGAGCAATCAGAACATAACGAAGAAGAAGCTACAGATTGCATATAAGGTAAAGAAGAAGAAGAAACAACATTTTTGAGAATTGGAAAAGAAGGATGGCCGAGGCGGTGATGCCAATCAACCAGAGAAGGTTTTATTGAAGAGGTTGCAAAAAATGAATGAAGAGTTGATGGAGAAACATGCTACTCGTAAAGCTCATCCTTCGTCTTGCCTTGGATTAACAGGACCCCCGAGGACAGATCCTTCACCTGAAAAGAAGCCGGAAAGAATTCCACAGAGACCTTGTTAGCATTGCACAATCTATAAACGGATATAAGATTTCTCTGGATATTTGGGACGCATAAGACATTGTTTAAGGTAAATTTGGGGTTGGATAAAGAGGGAGAGGGAAGGGAGAGTGAACCAGTGTGCGTTATTGGTATACCGGAGCCATCACCGACAAGTACTGCATCTTCTCCATTGTGTGGTTGATGAATGGCCAGATTGTGGAGGTCACTTGTCATGTGGTGGGTGGCGCCACTGTCAAGTAGCCACGGGTTCACCTTTTGTGACGATCCAAGTGCAAGGTTTGCTCTTGGTTGCCACGGACGGAATGGAGAGGGCAGCAGGCCGTTGTGTGAACTAGAGTACCTCTGTTGGGGACCCGAGTATGATTGTTGCATCTGAGAGCACCTCTTTGCACTGTGTCCAAAGACACCACAAAGTTGACACTTCCCTTGATATCCTTTGGTCATGCGATTCTCAAGTCTTGGTGAATAGTATTGCTGCTTGTTGTTGTTGTTGTTGTTCCAAGATTGGTTAGTCCTATTGTTCTGTTTTCCTTGAGCAGACTTGAAACGAGTATTCGCATAATTTGCTGAAGCTGGTCCGGACAGTGGCGCAGAAGTAGACATAGCGAGTAGTTTTGCTTCTTTGTTGAGGAGCTTCTCATGGATTTCAGTGAGGGATGGCGGTGTTTCACGGCCTTCTACTTGATCAACAACGGACTTGTAGTCCTCTGGTAACCCGCCAGAATCATCTCAACTTGTTCTTCGTGTTCAATTGGCTTACCAAGGAGTGCAAGCTGATCAAAACGAGTAACAAGTCCTTGCATATAGTCATCTACACTCTTCTGACCTTTGGGATGTTGTTTCAGTTGAAGACGGAGCTGTTGGATGTGTCCCCAGCTCGGATTGGCGTATGTGGCAGAGAGTTTCTTCCACATCTCTGCTGCAGTTGTTGTTTTGGTTACAACCGATTGAGTGGAAGGAGACAACGTGCCTATGAGTCCATTGTAGATCAGTTTGTCTTGACGACGCCATTTGGCGTAGTCGGGATTTGGTCTGGTCTGATTGTTGGCTGTGACGGTCGGAGTGGGTGCGAGGACAGATCCATCAATGTAACCCGCAAGGTCATGACCATCGAGTAAGGAGTGGACTTGGATACTCCACGTGATGTAGTTGGTGGAGTTGAGTTTGGTAACATTCATCATGTTAACATTGAGGATGGATTGTGTTGTGTCAACAACTTCGGGATTGATAGCCATGATGAGGGACGGCTGATAGCAGAGAAGAACAGAGGAGAGATTTTAAGAAAGAACAGAGGTAAGAACTGAAATGAAAGAGAAGAAGAGAGAAGAAGGAGGCAGCCGTAAATATTTTTTCTAGGGTATCGATAATAGCTCTGATACCATGTTAAGATGAAGTCTTATTCATTCTGTACACAATTACAACAATACAAGAGAAGAGAGGAACATCTAGGTTTAGAATACAAAAGGAATGTTCCTAAACTGTAATCAATCAAATATTGAGCCTTTAAAGAGATGATCGTTTGATATCTCTAACAGTGACCCCAAATACTCTATATCAAAAACAAATCTTTATCTAAGAGCCAATATATAAGAAAATCAAAAACTGCCAATTAAACTCAAAACATATCAACATATGGGTCGATGCCTAAGATATCCAGCATCTCATGTGTGTACACCGCTAGCCAAATCTCAATCTAGACAACACTTGATTCAAAAGAAAATCACATAATCAAAGATGAAAGTACAGATGAGGTAAGATAAAGTGCAGAAAGTAAATGAGACAAGAACTTTGTTAACGAGGTTCGGTTTCCCTACTCCCCGGGACCACGTCCAGATTTCGATTTCACTAGAATAAGAAAGCAAATACAACATTTTTGCCAATTTCTTTTCTCTTTAAGCAAACTTCCTCTTTGCTTAGATGATTCATTTTGTCTTCGAACAAAGATATTTTCCCTTTTTTTTTTGACTTAACAAACGCTCCTAAATCCAAGTACTCGACCTCCTCGTCATCAATTGAGATGGCTTCTTGAATCACTTCTTGAATTTATCACATTAATTTTTTTTTAATATTAGTTAAGATTTATAAAATAATATTAGATTAGTATTTTTTTAGACTTTTAGTCAACAGAAATAATTAAAAATAAAATCTGAAATAAAAAAAAATTAATATTTTTACATTTAATTAACATTATTTCTTCTTTTATAGAAAAAATATATAATATATTTATAATGTAAATTGATATGTTTCCAAAAATATTAATGATAGACTCTTTTTCTCCTAAATTGAAGTAAAAAATTAAGATAAATTTCCTAATTACAAAAAAAAGTATAATTAGAATTTTAATATTATATTAAGGCAATGATTAAAAGAAGGTTTAAAGAAAGTGAAATAGTGGAGCGGTCAGCCATAGAGGAGAAGACGGGAAAGATCCAGAGAAGAACACAAACTTCATCGACAATGTCCTCACATGATAATGATACATCTCAATCAGAACATATTCCTCTGGATTAACCATTGAGATACTCTCAAGACTTCCTGCAAAATCGGTTGGGAGATTTCGCTCCGTCTCTAAGCTTTGGTCGACCATTACCACAAGTAAAGATTTCATCACCTCGTTCGCAACTCGGTCCTTAGCATCGCAGCCATCGGTACTGGTAACCGTCTATAAAGGCGAAATTTTGTTCGTTTTCTCGTCTCCCCTAAACAAAAGTAGTTCTGATGGTAAAAACCCTAATTTTGGTAAGTTATCTTGTCTGGGAAGTTATCCATGTAAAAACCCTAATTTTGGTAACCTCCATCGTTATAAGTACGTGCACGGCTTGATTTTCTTGGAAGGTTCGAAACAGCTAGTGATTTGGAACCCTACCCTGAAACGCTTTTTAACTTTACCTGATTCTGAAGGCAAGTGCGACAGAGTAGGATCCATTGTATTAGGGTATGATTCGAGTGAAGGTAAATACATAGTACTACGTAATCTTGGAGACTCCAAGATTTGCATTCTTACATTGGGCGCTCAAGGACAAGGATTATGTAGAAAAATAATTACATTGGGTGTCCCTTGGCATATACCTACTAGACGTTTTTGTGGATGCATTAATGGAGTCATGTACTATGGAGCGGCGATTTTCGTTGGTATTCGTATTCAACACCATATAATAAGTTTTGATGTCAGATCTGAAAAGTTCAATCAGATCAAATGTCCGGAGCGTAATTTACTTATGAGCTCTCATATGGTACCTTATGAGGGAAGGTTAGCCATAGTTAAGACTATGAATTTACCGTCTATTGAATTATGGATTTTGAAGGATGGAGATAGACACGAATGGACGCATAAACACTTTGTTTTGCCTCTTGCTGAAATGGAGCCAATGCGGAGCGAAAAGCTATGCTTCTATGGTGTTAGTTATGTTGGTGAGCTTATTTTTACACAAAGGAGGTTGTTTGGATCGTTTTATATTCTATATTTCGATCCGAGGAGAAACAGTATTAGAGATGTCTTGTTTGAAGGAATTGTGGGTGATGAATTTAGAAGCCGCTATGGATTTGGTAAAGACTTTATGTACACCATGAATGTTTACCCAAATCACATCCAGAGTCTTGTGTCTTTGTGAAGTAGCACCTTCATCGGTCAATGTTTCCTTAACATATAATTATATATATGATTCTCTTTATGTTCGTCTTTGATTTTTTCTTGCATCGTTTTTTGCCCAATCCTTGATTTAGTGTGCCTCTGCAAACTATTGCATGTTATATATAGTTGATTCTAGTGAATAGATTTCTTTAAAACAATGGTATGGATGTTAGTTAATTGATAACATGCTAACTTATAAGGATAATACATAAGTGAAGAAGAAGAAACATGTCATATATTCTCACTTCATCAAGTTTTTATGATTTTTGCACTATTAGAAGGAAAAAAAGCATGTATAGTAAGAGATTTGCCTATTTTGCAGCAAAGTAACGGAGACTTCTTGTTCTATTGTTGACTAACTTCAAGTCCCAGCATAATCTTTTTTAGTTATAATTTATAAAAGATTTGACAAATCAGAAGTAGAACCATATTCTTCTTTTAGTTTTGAGAATAGGACAAAGAAGAATCAAATACAAAACATTGCTTGCCCCACACTCAAATCCAGATTAACATTTCAAAGAACCATGTGAAACTCTGTTTTTGGAGATCACAATTTTGACTTTGAAGCGCTATAATGAGCTTTTGATAGAGTGGAAATGTTTAATTTGATTAAATATTTCTATGGATTATAAGGATTAGGTTTTTTTTTTTTTTTTTTTTTGTATCAATCTCATGAGGGAATAATATGGTTCTTGTGTTTTCATTTTGTGTAAAGTTATGAATTTTGGAGGATGCAGAGAATCACATATGGTCACAAATGGTCACAAATGGCTGTAACTAGAACTTGTAGATCGGACTATTATGTGTCCAAGAAGATCATGTATACCATAAAATAGAGCAGGGACAAGATGTTGATATATACTTCCATGGACTCATTACAGTTCTTCAACGAGGATCGAACTCTGTAATTGATGCATCATTGATAGAACAAGGAATAGACCAGCTTGTGGATTGGGTATACTCTAAGCTATCCAGGTCCAGTTCACGTCCACCTAGGCAAAATCCGGGCGCTCGAGGCACAGGTAACGTGGTTGTGCTACTAGTAAGCATCAAGATGATCGCTGGTAACAACGGACGATCTGCAGGATCTTCTTGAACACATAATAGTGCGATATGGATGCATCTAGTAGCCTCATTACTCTGATAACTCTCTCCTATGATTAGATCCACCAGTTCCAACGGTGACCCATTTCTCCAAAGCCTCCAAGCCTAACACAAGTTGCTAACTAAATTAATAATTCTTTGGCTTAATCATGTGACTTAACTGATTATACTCACGTGTGTTACCAAATTGCCACCAGAATCATCAATGTTGTAGAAACTGCTAGTTTTTTTGCCACTTATAACCTCCAGAACCAATATTCCAAAGCTATAGACATCAGACTTCATGGAGAAATGGCCATGCATTGCATATTCTGGAGACATATAACCACTGCAAATAAAGAATCACTTTTTACCCTACGAGGAACCACTGAACAGATTTTTGTTTTGGTTGATTAAGAGAAAAAGTTTACAATGTTCCGACGATTCTTCTTGTGTTGGCTTGACTTTGATCAACTCCAAAAATCCTTGCCATGCCAAAATCTGCAATTTTGGGGTTCATATTGGCATCTAAGAGAATGTTACTCGCTTTGAGATCACGGTGTATGAATGTAAGCCGTGAATCATGATGAAGATATAGAATTCCTCGAGCAATCCCTCCAATGATATTGTACCGTCTTGTCCAGTCTAGTTCACCTTGTTTTGCAGGGTCTGTATATTGCAAAAATATGTATCATTAGCTACAATAACGACTTCTCAGAACTTTTACATAAGCTTATGTCTTTTACTTAAGCTTATATCATACCAAACAAGAAATAGTCGAGGCTTTTGTTGGGTACAAACTCCTAGACAAGTATCTTTTCTTCTCCTTCCAAAAAAAATCCAAGAAGTCTAACCAGATTCCTATGCTGAAGCTTTGCCACAAGAACAGCCTCATTCTTGAACTCTTCCGCGCCTTGCCCTGATGTTTTCGACAGTCTCTTCACTGCTACTTCAGTTCCAGTTGAAAATGTTCCCTACAAACACCACATCCGTTCATTTAAACATAGTACTGATTCAACTTTAGACAGAGAAGTAACAAACCAGGCAGAGAAAGAACAAAATACCCTGTAAACTTCACCAAATCCACCTCGCCCGATCATGTTACTGTCCGAAAACTTATCAGTTGCAGCTTCAATATAATTATCTTAAAACTAAATTGTAGTGAATGTGTTGTTGTGATCTCATCACCAGATGTACAAACAAAGTGAAAACATCGTCCTCGACATCCACTTTTCAAGAATTTGTATATAACTTGTTTATGGCAGCTGCAAAAGAAGATGGGAAAAAACATGAAAAACCAACCAACCTTGGACCTCAGTTGTTTTATATGATTTCCTTCTCCTACAAACCGCGAGTACTACAACAAGAAAAACCAAGATAACGACGATAGGACAACAATTGCCACCATAATCCCTGGCGAAAGTGATTTTCCATCTGCACAAGCCGCAAATCATTGCAAATGAGTGATTCAAGTATAAGGTTTCAACAGATTCTAGTTACAAATCATTTGAAGGAAATTACCTTTGATGGTTGTATTTGCCCGATCGCTAACCGGAGGAGGCAAAGAAAGCGGTGGCTGAGGTAAAGACTGCGTGGAGGCGGTGGCAATGCAATGTTCTCAAAAGCTCCAGCATAAGGATACAAATCCCACCGGACAAAGCAACTCGGTCTTATCACCGCACCACCTTGTTTACCGCGACAACAAGACTCATAATCACCAACACTTGTCTTCAGACAAAACTCACAATCTTTTGAAGAAACATCCGGCGTACATTGCATCATCGCATACATAGTTTCGAAAGCTGTCAATGAAGCAACCTCAGCTCCAAAGTACTTTTGTCCAAATGATGATCCATGAGTACTACTCAATGAAGCTGCAGTTATTGTACGGAGCATTAACTCGTCCCAGATTCTATCAAACACTGTTAAATTAGTGCCCGTATCTTCGATATCTCCGGTATGATACAACGTTTCAGATGGTTCCATAACGAGTGATCCAGAGAAAGAAACGTTGGAATAACGTACCATACAACAATCTGGCCATGTATAAGCATCTGTTTGGTTAGGAAAACTCTTGGATATCTTCTCTGATGCACCTTTGATACAATCTGAACAAGTCTCTGGTTTAGTCCCCGGGATGCACATACCAATGATAAAGACTCTATTGGGATCTTGAGCAATCTTGGAGTTGAAAAAGCCGTTGTGAGCTGTGACATTAGAAGCAAGAGTAGAGAGGATTTGACGACGGTTTAAATCGTATGTACTATTGGGTTTAAAGAATCCATTGAAGCAGATTTCTTGTTCAGAAACAGAATCTAAGCTTATGAGAAAAATCAAGAAGGTTGGAAAAAATAAAGACTTGAGCTTCATGCTCCCAAAGATGAGAACCAAAAATGGATTGTGTTTTAGATGTTAAAAGGTCAACTTCAAATACACTGAAGACTATGAATGGCGTAAAAGATGAAAACGATGACATATTCGTTGACTTTGCTAAACCGTAAAAGCAGGTCTAAGATAAACGATGCAACAAGAAGACAAGACAAGACATAAAATAAACTTGTTATCTTCACCAATAAGTGAACCCATACTGACGTAATTAGCTAATGTAAAAGGTACATTGTTGACATTTTACAACAATTGTTAAAGTTAAATCTTCTTGTAATTAGGAGGGAACTACACAGTCATCGAAGTAATTGCTTAAGGGATTCTTTTTTCTTTCGTTTTTTTTGTCAACTTGGGATTCTTTATCTTTATAGAAATTTTCAGGTCAGCATACTCGTAGATGCCTAATAAAAATTGTCAATGGAACGTTCTTCCATGTACTGTTATTAATTTTGCATGGGTCTTGTTTCTTTGTTTTTATCAACGGCTCTAGCTAGTGACTTTTAAAATTGTTTTTCTCATGATAGCTTTAGTTAGTATCTCAGATTCTACTTTTTCTTCTTCTTCTTCTTCTTCTTCTTCCTTTTCTGACCATGGAATCTGAGGGAGTGTCACTACCGTTGATCCACAAGCATCCTATGACGCATTGGAATGATCTGCGGAAAGGTGATTGTTGTGGACGCTTCGAAGGTATCAGTGATGGCTATTACTGAAAAATCTGTGACTTCTTTGTTCACAAGAAATGTGGCGACTCCTCTAAATATCTCGATCACCCTTCTCACTCTGTTCACACTCTTCAGCTTGTCCGTAAGAGAGATGATTATTACTGCGATTTATGTGGCAAGAATATCATCGATCTATGCTATCGTTGTGAGATCTGTGACTTCGACGTGGATCTATACTGTGCAAAGTACCCACCACCAAAGGTTATTGATAGTTCCGAGACGCATCACCACAAGCTCACCCTTCTCAAGGACAAGGAGCTGAACCAGTTCAATTGCGACGCAAAATGTAGGGATGTTGGGTATGTGTTTCCTTACCAATGTCATGAATGTGATTTAGCCTTCCATGTGGATTGCGTATGGAATCCGTCTGAGGCAAAACACCTGTCAGAGGTAACCCACACTTACCACCCCTTACACCCTCTTAAGCTCCACATAGGTCACCTACCAGACTATTCTGATGGAAAATGTCGTCTTTGCTCAAGAAAGATTGATGATAGATTGTTTTACCATTGTTCTGCTTGTAACTTCAGCTTGGATATGCGTTGTGTTTTAAACACACCAACAAAATCTGTTCTGGATCTGAAAGGAAAGTTCATGCTCACCAACTCATCTTTCGCCCAAGACTTGATTCTTTTACATGTAATGCTTGCGGGTTGAGTGGAGATCGAAGCCCTTACATATGTGTTCAATGTGATTTCATGAAACATCAAGAGTGTCTTACCCTTCCACGTCTCATAAACATTAATCGGCATGATCACCGTGTTTCTCGCACTTCTGTTCTTGGTGTTGTCAATTCTGTGTGTGGAGTTTGTCGCCAGAAGGTGGATTGGACTTGGGGTGGGTATTCTTGTCAGAAGTGTCCAAGCTATGTCGTTCATTCAAAATGTGCTACTAGAAAGGATGTTTGGAACGGGGAAGAGCTCGAAGGAGTGCCTGAAGAGATAGAAGATATTGAGCCATATGTGGTCATTGATGACAACACAATACAACATTTCAGCCACAGTGAGCATTACCTAAGATTTCATGTTAACGGTCTTTTTTGGGAGGAAAATAAGCGGTGCAGCGCTTGTAGCCATCCCATTTGTCTTCAATCCTTTTATGGATGTATCGATTGTGATTTCATGCTTCACCAAAGTTGTGCTAAATATCCTAGAAAGAAGTGGCATGTGCTACATAATAACCGACTTACTTTAGTTGCAAGCGTGGCTAATTATTTGTGGTGTGAAGCTTGTCATAGAATGTCCAACGGTTTTATGTACCAGTGCAGGGGTATGAAGTTAGATGTTCTGTGCGGTTCAGTTTCAGAGCCTTTTTTCCATCCAAGCCATTCCCATCATCCCTTATATTGTATTCCATCAGTGGAAGAAAAGGAATGTAATGGTTGCAACATCTCGGCATCTCATGTGCTTACGTGCATTGAAAGTGGTTGTGGATTTGTCTTATGCTTCAATTGCGCCACTTTACCACAAGTGGTAAAACATAGAGTAGACGATCATCCTCTCGGATTATGCTATGGCGAAAAGGCAAATGGCAAATACTGGTGTGACATTTGTGAGAAAGAAACGGATCCAAGTAAATGGTTCTACACGTGTAAAGATCACCGAGCTAGTTTGCATACAAAGTGCGTGCTGGGAGACTTTGCAGGGCTCATGCCAAGAAGCACAATAAAGTCTGGCAGCAGATCATTCGAGGTGGTGCTCAATAATAGTGTATCTCGTCCATTTTGTAGGGTGTGTGAGTCGCATTGCATGTACCCTATCGTCTTGAAGGTGCTTGGAATCTCAGATCTATACATTTGCTCTTTAGACTGCATAAGATATTTTCTTACCTCTTAAATATTTATAAATCTATTTTCAAATAAAGAATATTGACAATCTCTGTAATTTGTTTTGCCACTAAAAATCTCTCTCTTTCAATAATTTTGTTAATCGAAAAACCCAAAAATGTATTAGTTCTCATTTATGAAGACGATTTTTCTTTGACTTATATCTTCTTAACAGTTAACAGTCATCGTCACATGTCGAGAAAGAAATAGATTATGGCTTTTTTTGAGTTTTTCTTTTTTCTTCTTTAATTAAATTTGAGTAGATACTATCATTGTTCTTTTCTTGTTGGTGTTACGATGCTTTATTCTATTTCTTTCTTTTGTGTTTTTTCACAAACTTCATTGCTTTAAATGCTTCTACTCAAAAGTCAAAACCTTACTTGACTATACCAAGTGAGGACTCGTTGCAAGTCAATTTGGTGAAGTTTACAAGGTATTGTTGTTATTTTATTGAGTGTGCGAGGTTTGGTTTCTCTACCAACAGATTCAGATAACGTGATGATAATATTGATGCACTTTGTTGTATTTGTAGGCTACACTTTTCAGTGGAGTTGATGTTGCAGTGAAGAGGTTAGCAATATCATCAGGATTAAGTGAAGTCAAGTTCAAGAACGAGGTTACTCTTCTTGAATAGTAGCTTCTACCAAATTAACGACGAGGTACATGAATTGATCACTGATGTGAGTTAAAAGCAATCAATTTAAAAAGTGCCATCTAAAAATTGATTAAGGCTGTAACTAGAAGTTGTAGATCAGACTATTATGTGTCCAAGAAGATCATGTTTACCATCCAATGTTTCCAGTGATAAGATGATGTTACATTCTGCCTGAACCAGTTCTTCTTACTGCAACTTGGTTCAGAACATGTTTTTTGTTCTAGTAGGTCAGTAAATGTAATACAAGCACATCAATATATTATTTATATATTCTCATAAACTGCTTCAAACTGGGTCAAGAAGCACAACGAACGATTATCCAACAATTGTTTGTTAGCGGGTGGGCTCTCTTGCCCGGAAGAAATGTACCCAAAGAGTTCGATTATCGAGCCAGAAGAAATTCCTTAACAATTCCTCATTATGGTTTCAACGAATTTAAGGTTAGCATCGCGATTTCACCTAATCATCATCAAGCGAGAGACTTTATGTATACATATACAACACTATTGTGTCGTTGCATAGTCAACAACAACTTAGTAGACTACATTGATATGAAGATCTCCATATCCCGTGTCTTCAAGTTTCCAATGGAACATGTATTTATATTTCATTTTAGCTTGCCATTTATCGACCCCTCTGAAGTGAGAAGGAAGATAGTACTCGAATTCAGCAGTAGTTTCAATGCTTTTGACATTATTGAATGTGGTGTCCAAATCTTGATGCTTTGGGTTTGGTCCTCGTAATTTAGTTGTTTAGTCTATTGTTCCTTTTTGTTATTGGGCCTAGGCCTTATGTTTATATCATCTGAAAAGACCCAAAATGTTATAAAAATAAAAACCTTTCGACAAAATAAAACAAAAAAAAGTAATACCATGATTGTATAAATAACATATATTTTAAGAATTTATATAATGATATAGCCAAAACTATGTATTGTATATTTATTTTCATCTCCTTGGAGAATGTTTTTGAAATAAGATATCCAACAAATTTAAATTTAATAGCATATTTTATTTTCTTCTGGAAAACAAAAAACAAAGGATTATTTTGGCAATGAAATCCAAAAGCATACCACTATTCTATACGATATCGTTTTGAGGTGTACCCTTTTTTAGGTTAACTGGGTTGTGTATATAAGGTTCATGAACTCGCTAGATTATTTTGTTGTCATTACGCCGCTCATAGAAACTGTTTATGAAAGATTTGCTTATGTTATATGAGAATCTATTTGAGACAAAGGATCACATCAAATAAGAGATACTCGGGATTTCATGAGCGTTAATCAAAGGTATGTTCCAGTAAAAAGAAGAATTAGGACTTGTTGATTTTTATTTTGATCTTTTAAATATGAATTTCACTTAATTTTGTCTTTTTGATGTTATCAATTGAGTTCTTCAGATTCCACTCATGTTATACTAAATTTTAGGTTTATATATATATGTTAGTTTTTTGGTTTTGATTAGATCTATTAGGATTTTAGATTTGAAAAACTAAGATAAAAAGAGTAATCTGATTTGAGATAAACTGAATGTTGAATTCAAGTTATTAAGGAATTGAGATATGGCTAATGAAATCATGAATCTGTTCAAACTCCATCTATATCCATGTGGACCATGTCTCTCTAGATTTCAAGGTATTGGGAATAAGAGAAAAAAAATCCATGTTAAGATAGCAAATAAGAGAAATAGATCTTTCACTTTAATAAGCTCTCTAAGGTTTCAAAGATTTATTGGCTTAAGATATGAAATATATCTTTTGTTAATTTTCATCTCATTCACTTGAAACTAGACTTAAATTT